GCGGAATTGTATACGCAGATTAATCTTATTATTCCACGTTTTATGAGGTAATTAGAAAGACAGAAGATATTTTAATACTTGCTTTATTTGTGTAAATAGACATATATATATATATATATATATATATATATATTTCATAAATATTATTTTGCAGCTATGAAGATTATGGTATACGTTATTGTGCAGGACAGAGAAATGAGTTTGGTTGGAATTTCATAGGCTCCTCAAATACGCAAGAGTTACAAGTGCTGTTAAAATCGAATTGTATGATTCGAAGACTGAAATCTGACGTTTTAAATCAATTGCCGTCTAAGATAAGGTTTTAAAAGAAAATCTTTTTATGATGATGAACATGAATCAAATTTTAAGCATGTTTTTATTCAATTTGTATATTTTAGGAAGGTGATCATTTTAGATTCAACTTTGATCAAGGCTGGTACTAAGCAAATGAGGGAGTTATCGCAAGAAATAAAAGAAAATATCACGGGTTTGGAAAAACATAATACTCTAATAAAATATTATGCCGAGTCTAGCTATGCGAGACTGAAGGCAGTATGGTGAGTAAATACTACACTTATATTTTTTTAAAAATGTGAATAATTTCTATTTAATTAATTTAACATTGGTGTGTTACAGCCATTACGTTACAAACTTATTTGAAAATAAAACAAAATGTCTTTTGTATGCTCATCATCGAGTTGTTTTGGATGCTATTTGCAAAGTTGCTGAATCTAACAACATAAAGTAAGTTTCTATTATCAAGATGTGAAAACCATTTGACCAGTTGAATTCATCACATGATCATGTTAACTCCTTTTATAATTATGTTTTTGATAAACTTCATAAATTTTTAATATTAAAATTATACCGAAGAGGATTCAAAATCGGATTAAAACGTATATATGTTTAACTTTATAAATAAAATATATTCATACACTAGCAACTTGTGTTGGCTCTGAAAGGCTTCTCTTAATTTTTAATGTATTATTACATTCATTAAAATCTAAATTGAATTATTTGTTTAAGTTTTTATATTTATCGCTTAGTAATATATAATATATTGCAATTATGGTAATTTCTAGATACATAAGAATTGACGGCAGTACTAATTCAGAACAGAGGAAACATCTGATTGACACATTTCAAGAACGTGATGATTATACAGCGGCGATTCTGTCAATCACCGCTGCAAATGCGGGTTTTACATTAACGACCGCAAATCTTGTGGTCTTCACTGAATTATTTTGGAACCCCGGTGTAATTAATGTTTATCAAAAAAAGAAAATCTTTCATAGAGTATATATAAAATTTATCTCACGTTAACGTTTGAAATCATTTTTAGATTTTGTGCCAAGCGGAAGACAGAGTGCATAGAATCGGACAAAACGATACTGTTACAATACAGTACTTGATAGCGGAAAACACTGCGGATGATTATATATGGCCGTTGATCAAGAAAAAAATGAACGTTCTGAACTCGGTCGGTCTTGACCAGGATTTTTCGGTAAATAACGTCGATATCATAACGCAGAAAAAAAGCAAGCAACAAGACTTGACATCTTTCCTGAATATTTCCTCGTCTTCTGAGAAAGGATCGCAGTCGCAGCATGATATGGAGATTTCTCCAGCAATTCCAGTATCTCCCCCAAATGATGTTAAAGACTTACTTGAAATCGATGATGAATGTTTTGACTCCTGCGATTGGGATAATATTATGTGAATATGCAATAATTTAGTATTCTCTTGCCATTTTCAAAGACGATGTATTATTTTATATAAAGGAAAAATAAAAAGTTCTATCTGTTTCTCTCAATTGGAATTTAATTCTTTTTTATTACTCTTAGATAAAATTTCACCGAAATTCAGTATCAGAACAAGTCCAAAATTTATCCTATTTTAAGGTGAAGCTGGACCCGCTTGTATTATCGATAAAATTAGCGTTTTTGACGTTTTCGTTCCTGTCTAGTTTTTCTAAAAACTTATTTATTTAATTGACTTGCCTTCGTAGTATTAATGAATTAACTTCATTAAATTAGAGCGTGATTTAGAAATATCTACAAATGTTATAATATATATGAGCGAGCACCATCAAATTTGATGCGCGTTCATCCTGAAGCAGAAGAATTACAGAATTACATTACGGAATTATCACTTGATTATGATTACAGAATTCTAGCTGATCATGCAAGAATGATTACTATTGCATTGGCTGATGATATGTTGCCTGAACAACAGTATGATTTTATAGTACTAATGTATAATTATATGTGTATATATATATATATATATATAATTGTTAAATATAGTATATATATAATTTTAGTCCAAAGTTGCGAAGAGTATTGCGACATGCAATAGACATTGGAGAGAAAATCTTCAAAAAATCTGGCATAGTTTCAGAACTTGCTTGCAATGTAGCTGATGATCTGGGTATAGCTTATTCAGAATTGCATACTAATCTTGAACGAATCATCTGTTTTAGGTACATGATTTTTTTCAAGTACTCCCAAAGACTCTTTAGTAATTACAATACTATGTAACAGGATATCCAGACTTTTTCACGGTATTACAAATTAACATTATTTTATTTATTTTTGTACAGTATATACATCCGACAGATACTCATAAGCTAAATCAATCAAGCAGAATTACTTGTGATTGATGATGCAGCAGCAATTCCGTTACCCTATGTCAAAGCGATGCTTGGACCTTACCTCATTTCTCGCATCAACTATAAATGGGTAAAACATTAAAACTTTCCTGGTATCGATAGATTATTAATTTTCATTTGTTAATATTTATAGATACGAAGGTAGTACAGGTCGGTCTTTGTCACTTAAATTGCTACAGCAATTGAGAACTCAAACTGCTGGATCAAATAGCCACAATGGAAAAAATGAAAAGGAGCAAAATGAGAAAACTCTTATCGGAAGACAATTGCATGAACTTACTCTCGACGAATCAATACGTTATAAGTCGGGTGATACTGTAGAACAATGGCTGTGCGATTTACTTTGCCTGAATGTTACAATGCACGCCCCCATTCTTTCCGGCTGTCCTCCTCCTGATATATGTCAGTTGTATTATATAAACAGGTATTTTTTTCAAATATTGATACAAAAGTAATTTTTTAAATGCTTGTAATTTGAAAAATAATCGTATTTTTCTCTATTTTTTATTCAGAGATACATTATTTTCTTATCACAAAGCTTCTGAACTGTTTCTGCAGAGATTGGTTTCCTTGTATGTTGCATCGCATTATAAAGTATGTATTACTTAAAAAAAAAATTTTGTAATGAAATTATACTTTATCAATATTAATGTAATTGACTATTAATGTAATATCTTTTCTAGAATACTCCTAATGATTTACAAATGATGTCTGACGCATCATCTATTCTGTCTGTTGGGACCTGTAGTCCAATAGAAAAACTTTACCTGAAATATTAGTGGTTCTTTAACTATAAATAACTATAATTCTATGAAATCTAAATCTAATTATATCTCAATTAAAATAAATTTCTTACGTTCAGACATTTTACATTTCATAAGATAAACATTATAAATATTTAAAAAATTGATATTTTTTTAGACTCCATCTTCTAAATTACTTTCAATTATAACAACTTTATTAATTTATCAATTATAACAAATTTATTCAATATAAAGAGATACTTTTTATAATTTATTTTCTAATATAGATTTGCTTAGAAGACCAAGTCAGCAAAACTAGCATAATGATGGTCTCTCACGAGGTCGTAGAGCAGCGGGCGACTTAATACCTTGAACAATCGCTCAGTAATATCAAGATGAAGATTTTCCAGTATTGTCTGGCGCGTGCATTGTTAGAATTGCTACACATCCCGATTACCAAGGAGTACATGTTTTTCTTTTATAACTTGTCGAAACTTTTCGACATTAAAATTATATGAATTTGCTAAAAGAATAATAAATTGCAGATAGGCTACGGTAGTCGTGCGTTGCAACTGTTGAAGCAATATTATGAGATGAAAATGCCTGATATTAATGAAAGTATTATAGAAGAGTCAATGACACAGAAATAAAAAAGAGCGCGTATTTGATCAATATGGATTAGAGATCCTCTAATCAGAGTCGCGAAATAACGTAAATAAGGTTAGGTCGGCGATACCATTTTTCAGCAAAAACCGGAAGTAGCGATTATAGTACATTGTGTAACAGTGGGAAAGTTGTTTATTGTGGGGACGGGCGCAATTATTTTTTAAACTTTTTTGTGAATAACTTTTTAACGAAGGGCGAGCGACGGCTCAAACTTGTTGGACGTCACTCAGGGTCATGATCTTGACAACATATATAAGATCAAGATCATTTTTTGGAGCTTGGTCCCCTAATCGGAACTTTTATTAGAATTACAATTTTATTTACAGATTCATTTTCAGCGATCAAAAATCTATAAGTATAAAAATCACTTGGTTCCATTTGTGATCTAGAAGAAAAGCTTCAAATGTAGGATAGTGTTATTAAAAATATTAAGGAAATGTTATAGTTTAAAAAAAATAAATTAGACATCTTAAGTCTACATTAACAAGTCTACCATATATTATTATATTAACAAACACATATAATTTGTCCACTTGTCGTTAACTAATCTAATAAAAAATCTCTATCGCAAGACAATAACTCTTAATCGTTTTTATTATTCAGTTTTACAAGCTGGATCTGGTACAGCATTCCATAAAGAATGGCTTCCATCACCCTTTTTCATCGCGACAGTCTTTACAAACTCTTGCGACGGTTGTTTGAGATCATACGCCCACCCAATTTTTGCAAAAAAATTGATGAAATTTGTGGTTATGGAATTGTTAAATTCGGAAGCCTTGTAGTCCCACGGAAAGACATGATGGTAATTGTGCCATCCTTCACCACAAACAAAAAAGTTGACCCATCGGTTCTCTGTTGGATTTATGTGCCTGGCATTTAAAAATAAGATAAAATAAGATACAAAATTCTTGTTAATACAAAATGATAAAAATTTTTTTATTAACTTTAGATGTATACAATTTTAATATAAATTAATTATCTTACGCATCATATGGCTTTGAACCCCAAATATGAGCCGCACTGTTGACGCTCCATATAAAATTTAAAAGGATTACATAACGAATAATCTGCGATGCGAAAGCTCTAGACCAAGTCTCATTCCATCCATACACAGGTAACATTACCGGAAGCAGGAAAGCAAACGTAAATCTTAATATCGAGAAATATCTGCAAAATATCATAAATGAATTACGATATATAACTTTCATTAGAGTTATATTTGTACAATATATATACTAACATATATATATATATATCAAAATTTAAAATAAATTGCCATTGAGAGCCAACACAGGATGAAGGTGTGTAGTAAAATTTATTTAATTACATATAATTGCAAATTGCATACGTTTCGACCTTAACCCAGGTCCTTTTCAATGCATGAATATTACAAAATTAAAAAATTCTTAGTTGGAGTAAGTGGTGTCAAAAACAATTAAAGAAAAAGGTTAATAACTACATGGTGTTGTCCACTTACAATCAAATATCACGATCATTGAAGTGCAAAATTCAATGATTGTCGAGAATTTGAATCGTATAATACATATATATAGTATTATATATACATATATATTACATAAAAAAATTTTCGTGAAAAACTTTCTAAAATTGAGAAAGAAATTGAAATAATAAATACACTTTTGAGATGAATCAAATCCTTTCTTTTAATTTTTTTTGTCTTCTCCAGTATAAAACCATTTCGCATAATTAATTTTTTGCACTTACTTGATACTAAATACAGCAATAGGATCAGCCAATATATCGCTCATGTTAATTTGACGACCCTTTTCAATTACATCTGAATGTTTCTTCATCATCAACCAACCAACATGGGAGAAAAAGAATCCTCGGTTACTATTGTGCGGATCTGAATTCGTATCCGTGTATTTGTGATGTATTCGATGATCTCGTACCCATTCATAAATGTTATACTATGTGAAAGGATTTAATTAGAAAGAAAAAATTTTCCACCATACAATGTATAAAATGATAATTATAACCGTTCATCTACCATGCCTGCTGAAGCATAGAAAATAGCAAGTATAGTTCTAAGCTGCCATTTTGCCTTATAAGCTTTGTGAGTCCATAAACGATGAACACCAGCAGTGGTGCCTATCATTCCTATTAAACCCATGATATACGCTTGAAACAAAAAGGATCGATGCAGTTCAATGACATATCATATGTTTTAAAATTGTTTATAATAAGTTAAACCGTATTTTTAAGAGCATCGTTTAAGTAACATTGTTTTTGTGACATTTGACAATTCACTATATAGTAATTTATAACACAGTTGATATTAATACGATGGAAATGAGAAATTTTTAACAGCTATTTACTGATCTATTCTGTTAAGCTTGTACTACGTGTCTTTTCGCGTAAATCTAATCAATTGACTTTCAATCAGCTGTCGTTGATGTTAGAAATCGTTAAAAACAACTTTTTTGTATTTTTGATAAACATGCAATACAATTTTAATCAAATTGTTATAGCAGATTAAATTTTACTTTTTTATTATGTAATCTTTTGTAAGAAGTCAAGAAATTAAATTAACGAAAGAATTTTTTAGAGAATACTTACTCCAAGTTGTCGTTAGCAGATTTTCGAAAATGTTAAAAGTAAAACAGGCATATACGAAGTATAAGTAGAGAAAACTATGAATTAAGATGTTATACCATTTCAGCTCTGTCATGAACCAGCTTTTCGTATAGCTCTTGCTTCTGTTTTGTTCGTTATTTTTATTATCTAGTGTCTTTGTAGTAATCGAAGGTTTTTCATTTTGTGTATTTTCCTCCATAAGTATTTTTAAATCTGCGCTTGAAATATTTGGTGCCATGTTCTCAGATTACTGAATCGAGAATCCAGAAAATTTACTTCACGCTGTTAACAATTATATAGCAGGCTGTCATTTTTGATCTTCAAATCAATAATTGACGAATAAATTTGTTATTCATACACCATAAAAAATAAAACGTTAATTTTAACTCAAAGACGTTGAGCGAATTTTCTGAAATATGCAAAAATGTTAAAATTAACATTTTTGTGTTAATGTTAACATTTTCGCATGTCTCAGAAAATCCACTCAACGTCTTTGAGTTAAAATTAACATATTTCATTTTTTACAAAATAAAGAATGACACATTGTTATTCTAATTAATAAAACGCAGTATCCAAAAAATAATTTGTTCTCCAATATTCGGAAATTTTTTAAAGGTGTATTCTATTCGTCCAAACTGCTCAAACGTCGTTCGTACTTACAATGTAACTGATATCTTTAATAAATTAAAATATGTAGGAAGTTGGTCAGGATGTATTCATAAAAGGCGTGTACATCAAATGACTGTATATAAAACACTTTATTAAAGTAATCGTCCGTATAATATAACTGGTTCAATCTGTCGGTCAGTCCGGCTCGCGAGAACATTTAGAACTGTCGTCAACGGAAAAGAGAAGAAAACGCGCTCTCGTAAACGCATCGCTTCCCTTTTCGGCGGGAAATAAACCAAAATCCGTGTTATTGGAAAGTTAGCTGCGTGATACGAGCAAGGCGGTCAGCATAGTTGCCTTACAATTAGTTACTTTTTTTTTAATTTAATGAATTAGTTATTGTAGCAATTATCCATAAATTACCAGTGTAGCAATTATATTATTAATAATATTGAGAGAAGGCTCGACAATAATATACATATAAAAATTAATACAGTATAACGGTCAACGAACCAAAATAAAAACAATAAAATTCAAGAGAAACAAAGACAATATATTAAATGAACAATAAACAAGTAAAATAAATGTTTCGACACTGATCGGGTCATTCTGAATGTTAACAAATTTTATATTTTAATAACGGAATTTTTACAAAAGATTCTTATATGTTATATTATAAATTCGGATGCTTGAACCATAGAAGTAAATCGTAATCGTTAGGTAAAAATTATGGTGTTGTCCATTATGTAAAATGTATTCGTCAGTCAAAGGTTGTAAACAATATTATCTAAACAGTACCGCAGTATAATAATAAAAATTAATGTCAAACTGGTCGCAGATATGTATGTAATATTGTATATATATTTTATACTCTTTAAAAATAATATAAAATGTCGTCACAAAGAATAATAATTAAAATAAAAATAAATTACCTTATCAAGAGAAGAAATATTGTAAGTCTCAACTGGAGCAAATTGCAAAGGACAAAAAAACGATGTTTGTAGTATCAAGTACCGCAACACAATAGTGAAAAAAGAGAAACCGAAAGTGAGATATAAACTAGAACGGAAATGTAGAACAACTAAGAAGGGGAAAGAGACCGTATTATATTAAAATATGATTCTGGTAGAGAATCCGTATTATTTTGTCTATTGATTGAATGCTTTTGCCTCTTAATATGCACCATTTCCGAAATCAATCTTTTATTATAGGATGGTTCAACATCCAAAATCTTTACGTTCTCCCAATAAAAATTATGGTTCTTTTCAATATGATGGTTTGAGATGGCAGAAGGAGATTTCACTTTTTTATTGATGTCTGAAACGTACTCATGTACTCGTGTTTTTAGTTGCCTTTTTGTTTGGCCAACATAACTGACATCACAATCCTCACATGAAATCTTATAGATCACGTCTTGATTATTTGATGGTTTTAATCGGTCCTTTCCTTTTTTTATTAATTTCTTTAAAGTATTAAGGATTGTGTAGGCTAGTTTACAATTAAAAACATTGACCAACGGTGCAAATTTTTCAGAAATAGGATTAACATAAGGAACCGCAAAAAACTTTCCATTAGTATTATTCTGAATAGTGCTGTTATTTTTTTGAATATAAAATTTTAATTCTATTATGGATCGTCGAGAAGATAAATTGTAAGCCCATATGCCTTTGGAATGTTGCCATTAGTTGATAATAATCTCCGATATGTATATCATCAATATATTCCTTGCTTTTCTATTTAACAAGCGAAACACGTAAATCGCAAATAATTTTTCTTTTTGGATCTTTGACAATTCTTTCATATATTTCAGTATGAGAAAGCATATTTTCCATTTTTGAAATATAATCAGCTCTATTTAAATTAACAGTGACATAGCCCTTGTCCGCGATGGTAATCAACAATTCAGGATGACTTTTTACGAAATCAAAGGCTGACTTAATCCAGCTCGATACAAATTTTGGAAGTCGTTGGAATTGGAATTAGGAAATTTTTCATAAAAATCATCGAGGAATGGGATTGTCTTATTTCCGAAAAAATTAATGAAATTATCTGGACAACCCTTATAATGTTACATTCAATATACTTAATAAACTCAACTAATGTCTTGTCTATGTTATTTTTGTCTATCGGAAGTCCAAAGTTTTCTCCTAGTTGCAATAAACATTGTACGTCAAGAGGAATAGTTACATTACTAAGATTTGCACACCATTTGTCATTTAATGAAATATAATAAGTGGAACCGGATCACCAAATTTTTCTGCTGTAATACGTATTTTCTTAACAATGTTGTTGGTGGTAATGTCAAAGGACTCGTTGTTAGATTTATTATTTAATATTTTGAGAGAATTGTCATTGGAAAAGTCATTGGAGGAAGGTCCCCTGATCGAGACGTTTACTATTTTAAAAATATAATTGTTAATAATTTTTTAACGAAAAAAGAGCGAGCGACGGCTAAAACCTGTTGGAGGTTACTCAGGGTTATGTCCTTGACAACATACGTCAAGGTCAAGGTCATTGGCGAGGGCTCCCCTAAACAGGATATTTACCTGTAGAATATATTATCTAATTCGCAGTAGAGATATAAAGCATTTGTACCATTTATCTGACTTTCACTAGTAGTTCTTAATTATATATTCGAATCATGTTGACTGAATTGTTTTCTGAAGTTGCAATCTTATGCACTTTTATAAATTGTACTGTCAGCACATTGCTTCGTTTAAAACAGTTGAATGTGCATTTGTGCAAGTAATTATATGAGTACACAATGACTTAATACACTTTTATTATGCATCTCATTAATATTGTGTTATTATATTAATAATATTATAATATACGAAAAATATCTATTCCTATAATTATTATAAATATAAAACGTTACAATTATTTTCATATACAAGAAAAACAATTAGGTTTTTAATCCATTTATGCCCTTAATTACATTCTTACGATGATAGAGCAATGAGACAAAATTAATGTATATAGAAAATTTTTACTTCTATATATATATATATATATACATATATATATACATATATTATACATATGAAAATAAAATTATGTACAATAGTTTAAAAGTCTTTAAAAAATAACAAAAGTTTACTTAACAATAAGAATGTAACATTCCACAGCATATTAATAATTTATACAATCAGTGTAACCGAATCAGAAATTAAAAAATTATTTAATGCAAATTTAGAATGACTTTATAAAATTTAAATTTTATGTAATATTTGTAATCACTATTGTTCTCTAAAAATATGAATAAAACAACGAAAGAATATGTAATTTTTATGCAGAAATATGTATACTATACACTGAAAAACAAAAATTGTTAACTTGACTAAATTCGTAGTAATTATTTAGTTCAAGTATTTCTATATCTAAATTAAATAATTTATTTGAATTAACAAATATTTGCCTGATAGTTCATGGTCGCTGCATTTAGTTAAATGACTAAAAATATTGTGTATAAAATTTAAATTTTAAAAAGTTATTCTAAATTTACAAATATAGAGTACATACACATAATACTTTAAACTCGACGTATCCTCTGTTAATGTATTGACGTCAAAAATATTCTATATATAATTTATTCTTAAAATTTTAATTTTGTTACATGGGAAATGAAAGAAGTACTCGTATTTTTCTAACATCTCACAATAGCAATTAATATAATCAATATTATTCAACTTATCATCACTTATATAGTGAACTATATTTTGCCAAGAAAACACGCTGCACTGTCCGAATGTTGCACTGGTGGGCGATAGTGCAACCAAGAGAAAACGCTATTAGACCGCTTCGGTATTGTCTCATTCGGTTTGAAATTTAGCGGTCCAATAGGAATTGATATTGAATTTTGATTTAATTGCTTGTAAATATTGATTTAACCTCTATTAAGAATTCTAGAATATCTAATAGAAGTAA